AGTTGTGGAAGCCTCATGCTGTAAAACTTGTGTGCTTGTCTTTGTAACCGCAAATAAGATATCTGATGTGGTTTCCTCACTGTGTCTGGGCGACTAGAACCTTCACATTTAACAAGAGGGTTGTTGTGTGGGGTATAAAACACTAGCCAATGCCCTATAGTCACAGAATTTTCTTTGTGATCCTAGGCCAACATGCCTTCCTTCCCATGGACAGCCTTGGCTACAGCAGAGCTAAATAAGAGGGGCTCAGAACAGGCTCTCTGAAGGCTGGGTCAGTGAGACCCAGCTCGGCTCCGGTGTTGGTTATCTGGCCACACAGGTGTCTCAAGGCCTTTCCGCCCCTTGCCTGAGGTTTGCCAGAATCAGGGTGTTACATAAGGGAAGCCTCACCTCCTCTGCAAACAGAGCTATTTGATCAGAAACCTCCAGTCTTGTGTTTTTACATTAGACCATCCAAGGTTTCTGGGTCAAAGTGGAGTCTGTGTTAGATATGCTCAGAGTGTGGAGACCTGAGAGTGTTTCCGGTGGGAGCCCACGGCAGCTTCCATGTCTGTACTGCTCAAGGCTGACCTCTAAACCTGCGATTTGGAGATGCAAAGGGCATCAGGGGCTGGTGCAGAGTGGAGCCTGTGTGTGTGTGTGTGTGTGTGTGTGTGTGTGTGTGTGTGTGTGTGTCCCGCTCACACTGAAGCATGTCCTCCATGTGCAGAGTACTACACTCTCTCAACTTCATGTTAGCTGCACCCAGGGGACCAGGGAAAAGGGCTAAACCTTGAGGTACACACAGCCAAAGGTTGTCTATAAAGCAAAAGTTCTCATCAGGGATTGAAGTAAAAAATGAGTATTAGACTCCACCATATTGGAGTCAAGACTTAAATATATTTTGGCAATTAAGGAGGTCATAAGAAAGTGATAAAAACAAACCCTGGGAAAGGCAAATGTCCAAGTATGGCTGCTCAAACCCCATGCTCAAACACTCCTCCAGAATCAGATGCTTTCCCATGAACAGGTCAAGGAAGTTAGAGAAAGAACAAGTGTTAAAGCAATCTTGGGGGCTGGGCGTGTATCTCAGCTGGTGGAGTGCTTGTCTAGAAACCTTGTTTGAAACCTGGAACTTGATCTCCAGTAATATGGAGACGGGCGTGAAGGTGCATGATTGCAGCCTCAGCGTTTGGGAGGTGGAAGCGTATGGTTCAGAACTTCAAGGTCATAATTGGCTGCGTCATGAGTTCAAGGCTGACCTGGGACGTCTGAGTTTCAGTAGTTGTGAATACATATGCTCCTCTGTTAGCATCACCACATGGCATCTTACAGAGGGTCCACTGCCATGAGGACACCTGGAGGGGTGTGGTGTGCACACATCAGGGGAGGTTGGGGAATAAAACCTAGTTCTAGTCCTGGGGGGAAGATGCCAGAAGTCTCTGTCACATAAGCAGAGGCAGAAACCCAGGTGTTGAAATAGGAGTGGCAGGGCTGCGTCCCCGGCACCCGGCCGCCCGCATGGCTAGGTTATACCCAGAAATAATTACACGGAAACTGTATTCTTTCAAACACTGCCTGGCCCGGCTAGGTCCAGTTTCTTATTGGCTAGCTCTTACATATTGTTCTAACCCATTTCTAATATTCTGTGTAGCCCACGAGCTGGCTTACCAGGGAGGATCTTAACCTGCATCTGTCTGGAGCGGGAGAACCATGGCGACTCACTCACTCAGCTTCTTTTTCCCAGCATTCTCCTCTGTCTACTCCGCCTACCTAATTTTCTGTCCTATGAGGGCCGAGGCAGTTTCTTTATTATTACAAGACCCACCTCCATCACCCAGGAAACACGTGAACGATCCGAATGCTACGATTGCACATTCTATCACTCAGCTGAAGAGCTCAGCAGGACTGGAATTGGGGGAAATCATTCTGGCAGGGTTGACAGGACAGACAGTGGATCAGGTCCCACCCAATTGTCAGCATTTCTAGATGTGGGAAACTGATTCTTTTTCTGGGGTATTCTAAAATCTGAAACTATTACAGTTTATAAAATAGTTCCCCCATTGACTCGGTATTTCAAAATTAGGTGACTTTGAATTCTAATTCAGGAGGCTGAACAAAATAAGGGTCCCCAAGCAATGTGACACACAGCTGAGATGCCAGTTCAGAAATGTGTGAGTTGCCTGCTGTGTTGATTCCCGGTAGGCCTTACCCCATCTGAGTGGAGATGGAAGAGGAGTGGATAGGAGGTAGGGGAGGCAGCGGGAAGGGAGCAGGAGGAGAGGAGGGAGGGGAAACTGTGGTTGGTATGTAAAATAAATTTTAAAAATGATGGAATAAAAACCCTTTTCACCCCTGCCTTGTCTTTCTCCACCAGGAAGATGGGTGCTCCCTGGGAGGTGGGTGGTGTGACAGAAGGTGTTTAATTTTTGGTGGGTATACAATCTTTTATTCCCTTCAGCCACAATGCTGACCAACTGCCTCCTGTCCAAATCCTGGATCCTTTTGAAGGAGCATTCTTCATCTTTGAATTTGCAATACTTTTCTCAAGCATGTACTAGTGTTCAGCACTCCCTGAGAGCTCTACCTGTGCACCAGTGGGGAGCAGGCACCCCAAGTCCTTCGTCTGTTTAGCGATCATTCTCTTCAGTTGTTTAATTACTGCCCCCTTCCCCCACTGCCCCCTTCCCCCACTGCCCCCTCCCCCCACTGCTCCCTCCCCCCACTGCCCCCTGCCAGAGCTTCTACCACTTACAAGCCAGTCTCCTCAAACTCTCTCAAGCTGCGACTTTAAGACTTCTGCCTCATGCTTCTTCCTGAAGATGAGTTAGTAAATGATAATCTCAGTGTCGGGCATGGATCACCTCCATGTGCGGGACTGGTTAGAGAACACAGGCTGTTGTCTCTACTCATGGTTGTTTACCATAGCTAAGCTGTAAGACCCTGTTGCTGAAGACACAACACACTTTGGTTGCAGGACATCATCAAGTAGAAAACTTCCTACTGCTTAGTTTTCAGAGTGAGGGAGGTGGCTACATGGGTGCTGGGAGAGCAAAGGTATCGTGGATCTCTGCGGAAGCTAAGTCTACATGCTAGAATACAACCTGCCGGCCCAGATGTGTCACTGGGGCCATAGTGGCCCAAAGCCAACTGCTTTGAGATTGGATGTGAGGTCACAAAAAGGAATTTGGGCATACAGACCTGGGAAGTCTATGGCTAGGGAGGTCATTGGCCCCGGGAGTGGATGCTTTGCTAGGCAGACCTGTTGTCAACCTACCTTCGGCATATGGATGTTTATACATGTAGATTAGTACTTGGTTCATCCTTGGCCGGAGAAGACTCCTTCTGCCATGGTCAGCAACGCAAAGGCTCTCAGCTGATTAAAGTGTTGAGAATAAGTGATCGCTGAGTGGTCATCCCTATATGAGACATTTATGTCAACCACTGTAAGACTCAGGAAACATCTCAGAAGAGTGGGCAGAAGGAATGTAAGAGCCAGAGGATGGAGAGGAGAGGTGTCCTCTAGATGTCACATGAGCATCCCACTCATGACCTCACTGTAGCTATCCTTACCCACACAAGACCAGCACATGAGCAAGCCAACAACATCAGGCAACATTGTAGCTGACAGCACTAACTAGATTTAGTGGGCTACAGAGAAAGACAGAGAGAGAGAGAGAGAGAGAGAGAGAGAGAGAGAGAGAGAGAGAGAGAGAGAGAGAGAAAGAGAGAGCAGATACGGGTGTGATGGTCTGCACTGGTGTGGCGTGTCTGGAGTCTGGGGTTGTTAGGAATGGGGTGGATAGGATCAAAATACACTGAACACATGTATGAAATTGCCAAAAATAAATAAAAGATACTGTTTTTTAAAATTATCTGTCCTGGGCTGGAGAGGTGGCTCAGAGGTTAAGAGCACTGACTGCTCTTCCAGAGGTCCTGAGTTCAATTCCCAGCAACCACATGGTGGCTCACAGCCATCTATAATGAGATCTGCTGCCCTCTTCTGGCATGTAAACATACATGGAAGGAATGTTGTATATATAATAAATAAATATATCTTTAAAAAAAATTATCTGCCCTCCCATAACTAGAAAATCTGCCTCACTAATCCACACCAGTTGTCTGTCACAAAACACGGTGCTTTCAGAACAGTTTTACAGACTGTATTTGTGCAAGTTGAATTTTATTTTCTATTTTATTCATAATTTCATCTTACAGTAAAGACTCCCCACACATCTCCCTCCTCCTCATTTTCCTCTTCTTTGTCTTTTTTCTTGCTCTTCTTAATTTTACTACTACTATTATTGAGGGAGGCCACAGTGTACATGTGGAAGTTAGAGAACAGATTTGGTAGCTGGTTCTGTCTTTCTGCTGTGTGGCTTCTGGGGATTCAAGTCAAGTTTGCACGGCAGCATCTTTATCCCTGAGCTGCCCTTGGTTCTGTTCTGAAATAGGGTACACACAGTAGTGTGTGTGTGTGTGCATGTGTGCGTGTGTGTGTGCGTGTGTGTGAGGCTAGCCTGAAACTTACAATCCTCTTAAATCAGTATGCCCTGTGCTGGGATCACAGGTGTGCACACCATATGTGCCCTTCTGTTAATTTCCCCCAGGTCAGCAGTTTGAACTCGTGACATAAAGCAGCCCCCACTTTGATTTTTAACTACACACTCTTGAAGACTTTTTTTCTATTTGACTGTGTTCAAGGGGTGTCAGGGTCACTCAGAGGCTGCACGAGCTGTGTGGCCAACAGAGCTGGTCCTCAAAACAGCTGTTGTCAAACACGAAAGAGTTCCCACGTCTATAGATCTACAGAGAATGCTGAGCAAACAAGGGGGAGGAGAACAAGAGGCTGTTCACAGGAGAGGTGCAGAAACAGTGGTTCTGGGCGGTCCATGAGCTCACCGGTCGAGAACATTCCATATCAAGCACTTTCTCATCTTCCCACGAACACCTTGGAACACAACCTACTCTACCAACCCGGGCTTATCTGTGATTAAAATTAGAAATGTCCTTGGAACCTCTCCCTTCTCCTGCCGCTTTTCCATGACACTGCTTAGAAAGATAAGGCTCTCCTATAAGAGAACATCTCAGCTTTCCCCTGTTGTCCGTGGCACCTGACGGATCCGCCATGGTGAGTCAGGAACACGATTTTGAGACTGACTCTTTAGATTGCCCCCATTTCCCCACAAGTCTGAGTGAAAGTGATTATGTCAGTGTTTTGAAACCTGAGTTCTCCAGACTCAGCCATGTTTTCACTTCTGTGCAGATGCTGCCGCTGTGGACTTTCGCTGTGCTCCTGGGAGCAGTAGCTGGTAAGCAAAGATGTGTGGAGACGGGAGAGGCTCACTGTGCGGTTCTTCTCCAATGACCGTGACAGCTGGGTTCAGGCCATGATGAGGATGAGGACTTAGTTAATGGAAATGCAGGACTAAGGAAGACTAGGAATAAACTGAGTTTAACGTGGGGTTAAGAGAACCAGAGCTTGGAGTAATGTGAGGTACAAATTCCCAATGTTCATTTCTATTTGTTTTCAGACAAATAATAGTGCAGACAAATCATACATGACATTGTACTATAAATGCACGGTTAATCTGATATTTCAGTCTAATTAAAATATTTATTTTCTGCACCAGGCCCCTCTGAGGCCAAGGGAGGCTTCTGAACCTAAGTTCATCACCTACAACTCTGTAACACTAAAAAGAAAAAAAAAAAAAAAAAAACTGAAACCTTGCAAACTTCACAATACGTGTGGTTGAGATGGGTGTGGTGACATCTTTCTTGTGGGATGATGGCTTCAGTAAGAGTAAATCATTGTGTTCAGCGTCCGGCACATAGTAAAATTCAGAGAAACACAGCCCTCACAGCCGCTGTTACTCTTGCTCCCATTAACCTCGGCTTCATGTTGCTCCTGAGCTCTTGAGTTGTTCCTGCATGGAGCAGCTTGCAAGACGACAGCTGTCAAATCACTGATGTTTCCTGTGCTTGTGAGTCCCTTCTACATCACAAAAACCCGGGATGAGCCTCAAACACAGGTCAGCCAAGGTGAAGATACAAAGTTTGGCCCTTGCATAAAACTTAAAATTCCTCACACAAAGAATAAAGCTAAAAGGTAGCTAAGCCACCCGGAGCTGAGAGCCTCCACAAACACGCCTATTACCAGTTCCCGGGACAAAGGACCACCCCGTATCTAGGTATCAAAGGCCAAAGATTACATCTGGGTCAAATAGCTAAAATAAGTTCCTAACTGATACTGAGCAGAAACCTGAGGGGTGTGACGTGGTCTCAGAGGCAGAAGGGCAGGCAATAGCCTGACTGTCACAGAGGCACTGTCGCCACCAGCTGCTTGATGACTGAGCAAGAGGGGTGTTTGAGAAAGCAGAGGAAACTCTACCATAAGATACAGTCCAGTTTACACTGCTTGATTGAACATTAGGAAAGTTGAAGGAACATCTTTAAAACACCTGTGGGTGATTTCAGGACTCGAAGTCTGCTATGACAAGCTTGGCTGCTTCAGCGACAGTGCTCCATGGTCAGGAACTTCAGAGAGACCCCTGAAAGCTCTGCCCTGGAGCCCATCGAAGATCAACACCCGCTTTCTCCTGTACACCAACGAGAACCCAGACAACTTCCAGGTAGGAATGCGATCGTTCTCCAGACTCAGTTTCCTGTGCTTTATGCACCTAACACAAATATTCGAGCCTTCTAACGAGAATACAGCAAACGGTGGAGTTTGTGTATTTTTCAACTTTTAGAGCAGTCAGATTAGATTAAGTACTCTTTAAAAACTTAATTTATAAATGACCATTCAATTCTTATTGTTTCTGTCCTATCCCCAGTGAAACAATCTAAAAAATATATTACATATGCAAGGATGGAATAATTGTGTGTGCTTATGTAATATGCATACTGATACATATTTTAATAAAGAATTTTGTATCTTATTTGTGTGTTTTAAATACGATTCCCTAGTATAGTACAGACACACAGGAATCCACTTAAGATGGTTCGAGTTAACAGGGTTTGGTTGGAAGGTGCCAGGTCTTCAATAGAAGCTTCTGGACTAGCAATATCTGAACTGTAGCCACAGGAAGGAACAACAAGGAACCACGGCTTTCAGTTTTGTGCCCATCATGAAGGTGAATGACCGGCTGCTCTATATGGGGTGAAGCAATGATAGAAACTAGGTTAGGTAATCACAATATATTTCCAACGTATAATGCTTTCCAATCAAGTATAGCATCAACTTTAATCCTGAAAGGGAGAAACTGGCTCAGGAGTTCAAGGCCATCCTCAGCTACTTAGTGAGTTGAAGTCACTTGGTCTGCATGAGACCCTGCCAAAACCAAAACAAAACCCATTTAGAATGTTTTCAGCTTACACTGGATTTATTGAGCGATAACTCCATCATACCTAAAGGAATATTAGAATATGTACACATCTCCCAAAACTGAGTAGATTATAAGCAAACATAAAGAGGCATATGTACAAAGACTTCCATTGAAGATCTTGTGGGAGACATAGTGTCCGAGCCAAACAGCTACAAGTGAGCAACTTGGGGGTGACTGTGAATGGCTTCCTAGAATCCTACCTACCATCTCCATCCATACATAAATGATCCTACAAGCTCCTAGGAGAAACTTGACCCCAGAACACTTTTCCATCCCAAACAGCAAATCACTGCGGATGCAGCAATCATCAGGAGCTCCAATTTCAAAACAAACAGAAAAACCCGCTTTATTATCCATGGCTTCATCGACCAGGGAGAGGAAAACTGGCTATCGGACATGTGCAAGGTGAGCCGTGTCACTTTCCTAAGGGAGTATGTTAGAAACCAGCAGCACACTGGAGTCTGAGAATTCCTGAGCGTGGAGCTGGGGGTAGGGTAAGGGTGGGGGAGGTAGTGGTGGGTACAAGCATTTGGGACAGTTGGGATATATAAACAGAAACTGCTCATTCATTTCTTGGCCGCCCAGACCTGAATAATCACACTGAAACTATATTAATTACAACATTGTTTGCCCAATAGCTTAGGCATATTGCTAGCTAGATCTTACATCAACCCATTTCTAGTAATCTTTGTATCACCACATGGCTGTGGCCTATCTATAAGGTTCTGGTGGTATTTCTCCTTCAACAGCTACTTGGTGTCTCCTTAACTCCACCTACTCTTTCTCTATAGCTCTGTTCAGATTTCCTGCGTGGCTTTATTCTTCTCTGCCATAGGCCAAAGCAGTTTATTCATTAACCAATAAAAGCAGCACATATACAGAAGGCCATCCCACATCAGGGGTATGGGGTAGAGAGGTGTAGTGGCTCCAGGACATAGTTACTTAGCAACTAATGCGGAGATATTTCAGAGTTAGCCAGAGAAGTTGCTTTCCAGTAACATTCCACTAAGCACAGACCCTTAATGTCCAATGTTTTTCTCTACATCAAATTTCTATGTATCTGTTGCAGTAGAAACCTCAAGAATCCAGTTCCCACATGGGGCCACGCCTGGTCTAGAGCCAGTGCTGGACTTGGGGAAGGACTCCATACTCACTAAAGACTAGGGTTCTGTTCATAGCTTTGGGGTTAATGCCACAGCTATTACGCAGGCCAAGACGAGAATTTACCAACTCTTCAAATGTGTTATTCTGTAGTGAATAAGGGACCTGGATTGTTTAACCGCTACTTGTGTCTTCCCCATCAGAATATGTTCAAGGTGGAGAGCGTGAACTGCATCTGTGTGGACTGGAAGGGCGGCTCCCGAACCACATATACCCAGGCCACCCAGAATGTCCGGGTGGTAGGGGCAGAAGTGGCATATTTGGCTAACCTCCTTCAGGTAACTGATCCTGGGTTACGTCAAAGCTGTTAGGCACTGCTCGCTGGATCCTCCTTCCAGAACAAAACCAGTGGGGTATGATAATTGAGAACACATTTAAACAAGACCATACTCCCTCTTTGTTTAGAGTTGAGCTCTCCCCGTCTTGATTCAGGCTTCACCAATAACCTATTTAATTCAATAACTAGTTTTTATTTTTAACTAAATGAACTTAAGCAATGAGGTAGGTGATATCACTTGAATTCTGTCAGTATATTTAGTTTAGTTCGTGGCACAGACCCTGGGCTAAACTCATGTGATGAATTACAGCACCGAACTGTCAGGGGTTGTTTGAATTTCTCCTTCCTTATCAATTTGATATGGCGAGATCAGCCACATACTTATGTTTAATTTTTTTGTTTTACTTTTACCTGTTTGTGTGTGTGGCTGTGTATGTGTGTCTGTGAGTGTGCACACATGATTGTGCATATGTGTATGGAGGGTCTTCCTGGATTGCCATGCACTATCTTGTTGAAGCAGTCTCTCACTGAACATGGAACCTATCAGTTCTACGACGCCAGAAGGATTGGGTTCTGAGGACCTTCCTGCCTCTGACTCCCTAGCGCTGGGGTTACAGACAACTATTTTTACAGGGATGTCGGGGACCCTAATTTGGAACCTTGGGCTTCACTAACTGAGTCCGTCTCCCCAGTTTTCCTTTATTTTATTGAGCAGAGGCACAATGACGAGCTAGTCTGAGCAGGCTATAGAGAGATGTCAAACTCTTATGTGCTCGAGCAATGGCCTCATGGATTTCTGGTCCGAATTCTTGCACCACCCTCTCTGATTGTGACGCACATATCCTTCAGGGGCTTTCTCTCAGCAGAAGAACACGCTAGGGTTGTAGACCTAGAGGAAGTATTTTCCATCTCTTCAGAGTGGCTGTGGAGGTGCTCTCTGGGAGTAGGGGTGGCGTCTTCTTAGAAACCAAGGTTAGGCGGTCCTTTTAGGCCATCTGGCATTTTGTATTACTTGAAAACATTTTAATAAGGCTTCCCTTTCAACAGTCTGAACTCGGATACTCACTTAGCAATGTCCACCTCATTGGCCACAGCCTGGGTTCCCACATTGCTGGGGAAGCTGGAAAGAGGACATTCGGTGCCATGGGGAGAATCACAGGTTAGTCCAACAGCAATTGCCACATGATTAGACCATATGTCCTCTCTGTGGAAACCCCAGGGAGGCACGGGGGGGGGGGGGAACTGGTGGGTCTGCTCTGAACTTCACAGTTTCTGAACCACAGACCACAGTGCCAAGTGCTCACAGCCCAGTCCACTGTGACCCGGTAAGCTGTTTCCTCACTTTCAATCTTTGGCCATCACCACATTGTTTAATATTTAAATATATATATATATGTATATATATACATATATATATCTTGAATTAGGAACACAAAAAAACAATATGCCTTTCCCCAATTTTCAGATCTTCGCCAAATTAGTTTCTTTAATGAATATCATAGGTAACAGTAGACTTAAATTTGTAGAGTTTGTGTATAATTAATTGAATTCTGCTTTAATACTAGTGAATAGCAAACCTCAGCCTTGGCAACTACAGCCCCATTGCTGGGGGAGGAGACAGGTGGTCGGGCTGTCTGGATTCTAGTTCGGGGTCCTGCTAAAGAGATTCCAAATGCCGTTTGCAGCTGCAGGCTGGCTGCATTAGGCCAGTGGGCCACAGGCCCAGGCAACCTGACAAGGAAGAGGAAGCTATTGCTGTCCTGACCTAAGACATGGCTACTTCAGAGAACAACCAGTTTGCTCCGTCTTCCAACGTTTTCTGCAGACCTGACAATTCTCTTGTTCTATGTTAAGCTGGTTGCATTTGGATTAATGGGAACAGTCTTCATTGATTTATTTAAAAAATGTTCTTCCAGAACATTCTTTCCCATAGTTTACAATTGGCTAACACAGCCTGTTCTGCCAGGTGCTGTACCATGCCAGACCATGGGCTCAATCACAGAAAGCCTCTGCCTTCCTGGAAGATTAGAATCCATGGGAATCTTAAGTCTGGAGAAATTAGTTCAGTGACGCCTGGGGTCAGCCATTTGATGGAAGTTGTTGCTAATGATCAGGGTTCTTGACGGAGCTAAACATTCAAGAGCTGAGGCAAATCCTGGTACAGCCAGGGAATGCATCACCTCTCTCATGTGCACGCACCGTAGTCTCTTGTGCACGCACCGTAGTCTCTTGTGCACGCACCGTAGTCTCATGTGCACGCACCGTAGTCTCATGTGCACGCACCGTAGTCTCTTGTGCACGCACCGTAGTCTCATGTGCACACACCGTAGTCTCATGTGCACACACCGTAGTCTCATGTGCACGCACCGTAGTCTCATGCACATCCCACCGTAGTCTCATGCGCACCCCACCGTAGTCTCATGTGCACCCCACCGTAGTCTCATGCGCACCCCACCATAGTCTCATGCGCACCCCACCATACTCTCATGCACATCCCACCGTAGTCTCATGCGCACCCCACCGTAGTCTCATGCGCACCCCACCGTAGTCTCATGCGCACCCCACCATCGCAGCCGGTATTGATGGAGGGGGTGACTTTGTATACTGAGTAACTGATGTAACTGGTGACCCCCTCCTGTTTGCTCCAGGGTTGGACCCAGCTGAACCTCACTTCCAAAATACACCTGAAGAAGTCCGACTGGACCCCAGTGATGCCCAGTTTGTGGATGCCATTCACACGGATGCCGCCCCCATGATTCCCAACTTAGGTGAGCTCCTCTAGTGTCTCCTGGAAGATCTTAATCTCGGCGTTAGAATGTTTGACAGGGCCTCCTTGGTCATACAGTAATAGAAACTTCCATTATTTTTTAAAAATCTCCAGGATTTGGAATGAGCCAAACTGTGGGTCACCTCGATTTCTTCCCAAATGGAGGAGTAGAGATGCCCGGATGTCAGAAGAATATTCTTTCCCAAATTGTGGACATCGATGGGATCTGGGAAGGTAAAACCATTGCGCGCAGACTTCCACTGGGAAAGTTCAGTTTCTCGTTGTTGGACCTGCTAGCTGCTCTCCAGACCTAGTAATCCAGTTCTGAAGGATCTAGTTCAGGGACACTATTACATATCTATATGTCTATATGAACCAGACTTCTCAAGCTGCTTTTCCATCATAACTATTATGATTCTAAAGTGTGTTTAATTTCTTATCTCACATAGTACATAGACTTCACAAACTCTTCCGTGTTGTCACCTCCAAGAGCTTGTTGCCCTGACTAGATCACTTACCATGACCTCCGTGTTCTCAGTGTAATGTGACTTAGAGAAGTAAAGTGTGACACTGATGTCACGCCTGACTCCACAGGAACACGGAACTTCGCTGCCTGCAACCACCTGAGAAGCTACAAGTACTACTCCGACAGCATCGTCAACCCCACCGGCTTCGCTGGCTTCTCCTGCGCCTCTTACAGCGTTTTCTCTGCAGTGAGTGGCTCCCATCTTCCCTGTGGATTTCATCAAAAGTTTTAGTTTGTCCTCCTCATTACTGGAGACCCAGTGGTGCCTGTGTGAAGCTCACAGGTGACCCTGTGCTCTGTCGCTGGACCCCTTGTGATGACGTCACTGCTAGTAACCGCTAACAGTTGTGCATTTGTTATGCTAACTCGTGTGAATGCATTTCGGTAGCAGAAAAGCATTCCAGGGATTTAGAACAATGCCTTACTTAGCATTTCTCTAACTTTTCTCTGTCTCAGACCTGAGGGCTGAGGAATCCTAAACAAACCCGTAAAACTAGTTTGTAGCTTTCTGAAAGTCCTGTCTAGAGGATGCTGACGAGCATGGAAGATTTTATCTAAAGGCTGAACTTTAAATTATAATTATGGAATATGGATATGCCTTGGCAATCGTACATTCATCAGTCATTCTGCAGTTTGGTCACGGTTTATATCCCGGTTGACTTCTTCCATGTAATCTTGAAGATGACATTTCTATTGACTTAGGTTTTGGAAAGTTGACTTTTCACTATAGCTTTCTTCTTTTTAATCAAAAGTTTTAAACCACTGCCATGTAACATAGAAAATTTCAAGCAATCAACGTTCCATGTAAGTCAAAACACTAGTATTAAGAACAAGGGCTTGAATGACGTTGGGCAAAGTATTTCGTTTCCCTCAGACATTTTCTTTATCGAGAAATGTGCTGATGTCAGACTCAATGTTCTTGGTAAAGCAATCAATCACATGTTAAGTGCTCGGCCCAGAACAACAACAACAAAAACATGCTAATCAAAATATGGGAGAGGGGAACATATTTTGTTCACATATAAGTTTTCTAAACAGTAAAAGTTGAGCACAAACCCCACCCCACCCCCAGTTTGAGGTTAGCTTTATCTTCCTATAAACAAATGATCAGACATGTTTAGGTTCCTTGTAACAAAAGTGGCCTGGTTCAACTACGCTTCTCCGCCTTTGGACCCTATACTTCCATTCAGTCTGTTGAGAGCCCATCATCCTACTGATGGCCCAACCAAGTGTGTGAGTAGCAGAGGAATGGCTGTGGTCCCTGGGTGCATGGTCTCCTGGTTCCTTCAGAATCCAGGCTACATCCCTGTCTTAGGGATGAACACACTTGGAGATAAAGTCTGGCACTCTTCTTTGGAAATGCCTAGGGCATTTCTCCCTGGCTGTCCTAATCTTTGCTTAGCTTGCTGGTATCCAAACCTGAGACTCCTCCTGACCCATCATCTAGTCTTCTGACTGAGAAGTCCTCCATGATTCCTCCTGTGGAGGAGCCCACTCTCCAGAGTGGGAATTGGGCCATCCTCCCAATTTTGGTGTTTGTGCTCTCTCTTTTTTACCATAACCCCTGACTGAGGAGAGTATTTCCCAGTACCTGTCTGCTTTAGATGCCAGCTGCCTGGCTAAATCCTAAAGACCAATTGGGTCATTTTATCTCCACCCTGGAAGACTCAGGGTCATTTTATTCCACACTTGGGTTCTGAGAATGTGAGCAAACCAAGGAAAGCAAAGGAACTGAACAAGGGCCTGAGTTTTGAGCCTGTCACCCTCTGACATAATCCTGTTGTGCCTGGCAGACACTATGGCTTCTAGTTCTTCCCTATGCTACCTTTTTAAACTAAATTCTAATCACTTAGCAGGAGGGTGAATATCTTAGAACAAATAAAGTTCCAGAGGCAATGGGGAAGCATAAACACACACATGCCAATTATCCTATGGTGTGGGGTTTATATTTTTTGTGTACTCAGATAGCAGTGAAATCGAAGGCTTGGTCTGTGGACAGTGAGAGGCACTCACAACTTCCACTAAGACACATACCTTTCCACTGCCCCACCATTACCATCAGAGACAGCATTAGCTTTGACTCAATTATAAAGCATGTCAGGAAATATGGTGCCCTACTGAAAGTCAGAACGTTGTCAGTCCTCATTTTCTTGGTCTTTCAGGACGAGTGCTTCCCATGCCCAGGCGGAGTATGCCCACAGATGGGTCACTATGCTGACAAATACCCTGGGAAAACAAAAGAACTGTATCAGAAATTTTATCTGAACACCGGTGACAAGAGTAACTTTGCCCGTAAGTTTCTATTAAGTTTCTATTTAATTAATTTTATGAATTAAGTGGTCATTTTTCCTTTGGGGAAGGTATAGGTAATTCTGGGTATAAAACACAGAGTCTGGTAAATGCTAGTAAAGCACTCTACCTCTGAGCTACACCCCTAGCCCAGAATTTAAACGAGATGAACCTTAGACTCTTGGCTTGGAAAACAAAAACAAAACAAAAATGCCTCATTCATCAGCTCCATAAGTGTTCTTTCCATCTGCAGCACCTGACCCCGGACACCGAGGAAACAGCTGTGAAGTTCACCAGAACTGCCAACAATCCGATCCATTATTCAAATTCTGCAGCTGTTGGGTGTCTGCTAATGCGCCATCAGTTACTCTTCTCCCAAGCTGACCATGTATAAATGTTGTCTCCCATGCAGGTTGGCGGTATCAAGTGTCTGTCACCCTCTCTGGACAGAAGGTCACTGGACACATTCTAGTTTCCCTATTTGGAAACGGAGGAAACTCTCAGCAGTACGAAATTTTCAAGTGAGTAAAAACATCGCTCGGTGCTTCTTAGCTTTTGGCATTCTAGGAATGTCTCACGTACATGCTTAATAGCCTTTTCTCTATTATATGTATATAGCATATAGTCACATATAACGAAAAGAAAACTGTCTTGTAAACCTACATATTAGTAAATTACAAATTGTATTTTTAAATTTTTTCTGATATTTTCTGAGGAAACAGCTCATGTTTATTTTGTTGCCCGACATTTGGCTTATAATGAATAAATAATTACCCCCTACACAGTGGTAAAGAAGAGATTTTTATAATGATAGCATCATTTATTAGACTATGAGAATTGTCACAAAGACACATTGAGCCCATGTTAAAGAAACCATGACCAAGATAAATCCGAGTTACTGGCAGAAAAACATACCCCAAGGTTAAAATACCTGTGTGAATTCGCATCAGACACGCAAATGATACATGTTTTATCAAGTAGCTTAGACTAAAATGGAATGTGAACTGGTTTTAAAAACATATGCATATATTTGCATGCATGTGTATATTTATTTGTATGATTTATTCTGGGCATACTTATGCATGTTCACATGATGTTTCGTTGACATCTTAATTTCCCAGGGGCTCTCTGAAGCCGGGCACTATGCATGTCAGTGAATTTGACTCCAATGTGGATGTCGGGGACGTGCAGAAGGTTAAATTTATTTGGTACAACAACGTGATCAACCCAACTCTACCCAGAGTGGGAGCATCGAAGATCACGGTGGAAAGAAGCGATGGCAAAGTGTGAGTAACGGGAATTAACAAAATAAGACGGCCTGCCGGTGCCTATTCACACTGAATCAGTTCACACCTCTCATAGGAGACACGCGCGTCCCTGTCACTTCTGCTTCCTAAGGCCTCATGTGTCTTTAGAAGACAGTGCCGAATGTTGGGAATGTTACTTTGATAGATCCTTAGATGAGGGAGAATGTTTCCTTCGGCAGACCGTTCAGATTATGCATGTGGCTTGAGTGTGCCTCACCTCCCAAACTTCAAGGGTTCTCCAAATTGCCCCTTAGATTGTCTAGAACTGCTGATTTAGCAAGGAAGAAGACAGATATACACTGCCCTGTGGCCCAGGTCTTCCCGGTGAAGCCTAAGGTTCAGAGATCAGTTCTCCATGTTTACTGAGACCCACATGCCCTGAGCTGAGGATGCTCACAAAGGAAAGCCAAGAGGGCAGAACAGACACTCTGATGGTATCCATGGCAGTCCCAGCATCCGTGAGTGGTACCCACATTCTGGTGCAGAGTGCTGTTTCTCCTGGTGGCAAATGTTTGGTTATCTTTCTGAAAACATGAAGGTGGCTGGTCTTGCCAGAAGTTGTCCCTTGGGTGCCAAAGGAAATGACCAAAACGTTACACAAAACACATAGACAGCAGTTTTCAAGATACTGAACTTTGAGTAATAGTAGACAGTGAAGCCTGAAACACAAAAACCAAGTCAGGTGTCTTAAAATCACCTCAGCTGACAGCCCTGAGAGGCTTTCTAAGCTGTGGTGCAAGCAGGGTTGTGTGGGCTCTCAACATTTAGGGGAAGGAGCGAAGAATTGAGATCTCGAGCAGCTAGACTTGATGGCACAGTCTACCAGAGAAGATAGGGCTACAGAGAGATATGGTAGAGTTCTAGGGAGTCCCCTTGGACATTTGACACAGTCTGGTGTCCTCACAGAGGTGAACAAACCAGCCGTGGCCAGGGAACAAGCCACTCAAAATAACTGGAATGGAGCCTATTTTTTCTTCAGGGGTGAGAATAGACCCTGTTTCTACCACACAGACTGAAGAAGCCTGGCATTTTGTTGATACTAAGTGGAGTACTTAGTAAGGTCCCGTTTCTTGCTAGATTCAACAAGACTTGAAATGGCTTGGAATAATTACATCCCAGAACACAAATAAAAAGTAAGATTATATAGCAGTAACCAGATAAAAATCCAATACCTGACATTAACTCAAACATTCCAGGTTACACAAACAGTAGGTCAATACAAACCATAATGAGGAAAGTAATTAATGAATTAACATTCAGTTGAGTTGGTATGGATGTTAGAATAACAGATAAGGATATCATTATACCTATCAACATCCATTCAGTTTGTCCAGAAAAGGTCAGGAGATGATGGCACGTGTTTATGACAGTATTGGGGTGATAGGAGGGTATATACAAAAGTATATCATATGATAATGGAGAGGTAGGGCATGATATATGTGTGTGTGTGTGTGTGCAGCATTTGATGATGGAGTGTGGGGAGAGTATAGTATAAGTACAGCATTTGGTATTGGTATGTGGGGGGTATAGGATATGAATAAGCACAGCATAGGATAACATCATAAAGGGTAGGAGAGGAGAATCGGAAAGATATCTGTTGGAAGGCCCTGTGCCAGATGTGAATTGGTACACTGCCACTTGCTAAGTTAATGGAATGAGTTAGGTATGTGTGTTACCAGTTCTAAAGTAAGCAATATAAGAATAAAGAACTAAAGCAAACGAAATTTTAAAAAAGCTATAAAATGAAGATTAAAAAGTTACTCAACGTGAGTATGAAAAGGCAAAGAAAACAGAAAGCAGAACAACAAACAACAACAAAAACCCACAAAGATGACTGATAGCCTTTTACCTGACTGGAGCAGTGATTATATTAAATGACAGTAGTCCAAACACACCGAGATGAGGAGACACAGACCTTCACAGTGGGTTTTAAACATCAATACCCAATGAATTATGCTTATTTGAAATGTATTTTAAATAGAAATCAAAAGGTTGACAGGAAAAGTTGTGCTGTTTCTCATTGGAATAGCACAAACAACAATAAATGCCACCACGGATATATTTAAATAGTTAAATTTAAAAAGACTGAAAATACCAAGCATGTTTGGAGGCAAGGGGAATCCTAACTCTCAGACATTGTGTGTGGCATATAAAATGTTGTAACCATTCTAGAAAGTAGTTTGATGACAGTTCCTTAAAAGCCAAGCATCCCAGTCTCCACGCTGTCCCAGTTCCTAACATCATGGCTTCACTTCCCACAGTTAGGTTACACACTGTCAACAGTGGTCTGGAGTAATATGGGAAGTGAACACTTCTTGTTCTTTGGGGGTGACTGACAGCTTTTCTGTAGACGAAGTTTACAATCACATTGTAAGGTTGGGAGGTGATTCAGGCTCCTGATTGTGTCCATCTCAGACTGCTGGAGCAGGGGTGTGGAGGTGGACGAAGGGACATGGCTACCCTCACGCCCAGCTCTGCACTTGTGTGAGGAGGAGCTCACCCTTTTGTGTTTTCTTTCCTCAGGTTCAACTTCTGTAGTCAAGAAACTGTGCGGGAGGACGTCCTGCTCACACTCTCTTCGTGTTAGGAGGTTGCTGACATGTGACTACTGAGTCCCACTGTAATAAAATCTAGTATTAAAGCAATGCATTCTGCTGTCAGCGTTGATTAATTTTAATGAAACTTCAGGATGAGAGGGTAAAACCGTCAATTCTCGGTTGCCGTGAAGAGCCTAAGTGATTGACTATAAACTTTTGCTGTGCATTTGGGTTTGGGAATATCAATTAAATGATAACACCATCATGCCCCCTGTTAATATTATTAGTGCAATTTTGAGCATTTAAGACAGAGCTTCAGGATCTAAGCATCTCCCTCGTGCTAGCCCTGTGATGACAGTGGTAGATTCAGCCACTCTCTCCATCATCCTCTGGCCAGACATCTCAGGAGTAATGGAACAGAACAGGAGATGAGGATGGGACTCTGAGACACGTCTGATCTTTTCTATGGTCTTGCTTCTTTGGCTGTGGTTCTCCCAGAACCGCTTCCTCTCAATAATCTGTTTGTTCTTCCAGAAGCCCAGACCAAAGCATCCTGCTTCGTAAGCCCAGGGGCAGAATTCTGATTTCATAGTCTTGCCGGGGTTTTTCTCAATCTGGCTTTCACCTAGAATTCCAGTCTCACCTCTCAGCACATTTCTTTTGGACAAACTCTGTGTTGCTTAACCTGACCTCGAGTTATTATACAAAACCATGGAAACAAAAATAGTACAGTACTGTCGCAAAAGCTTTCAGGTAGACCAATAAACTGCTAAGGCCACCTAATCTTTGACAAATGATATCTTTGATAAAATCTTTAATTAAAAAAAGCATTAGAGAAAAGGGAGACTTTTTGTATGCTGCTAGGGAAACTAGGTGTCTACTTGCCCAAGATAGAAACCAGATTCCTATCCTCCAACCTACAAATGTCAACTCAAAATGAAGCAAAGTCCAGCAATCGCTGTGTGGAAACACAGCCACAGACAAGGGCTTGCTGAGTGACGGCAGTAGCTCAGTGAGTCATTGCATACTTAATGCATGTGATTACATAAAATCCGTGATGTGGCAAAGGAAGCAATCAGCAAAGTGAAGGGAGAGCCTACTGAAGGGAAAACTGGTCTTTTCTAGCTATGACAGGGGGTTCGCTCTGATTTTCTCTTGGTTTGTTATGTTACTCAGCAGTGTTTAGCCAGCTTCACTATTCCAAATGGGTACATACTGGTACCCGGACCTCAGTACTCTAGAGTAGTATTTCTACCCCAGTTCTTCTAGCACAATAGATAGATAGATAGATAGATAGATAGATAGATAGATAGATAGATAGATGCATGGGTGCATACACACACAGAAAAGACAAGGAGGGAGACAAGCAGAGGGAGAGAGAAAGAAAGAGGGAGGGAGGGAGGGAGGGAGGGAGGGAGAGAGAGAGAGAGAGAGAGAGAGAGAGAGAGAGAGAGAGAATATGAGGACACCTAAAAGAAAATTGTAAGGAATAAACATGGACTCTCAAATTCTACCAAGTAAGGAATTAATATATGTTGCTTACTATATGTATGTGATGGCTATTTTTGGTTGTCAATTAGACTACATCTGAAATTAACTAAAACCCAGTTTTTCAATTTGCCCACACCTACAGTTACCAAATTACTGAAGTCTGTCCTGGGAGTGTGTACTGAAAGGTTATGGTGTGAGCTGTTCTACAAACTTAAGGAGACAAGTGCACATGATTATCCTCATTCACCAGTTGTGAGAGGCAACAGACTTGGTGGCTCTTTATAAAAAACTTTTGATGATTTGAGGAAAAATAAGGACAATGATGTTGGTCAGATGTTCTTAACATCTCTGGATAAATTGATAAAGAAAAACAATGAACTCCATGATAAAATTAGCCAACTCCTTGTTTCTCAGAATTTAGGGAAGGATAACATAACAATAAACTGACTGATAAAAACTGACTGGCTCCAGATGCTCCTTGTTTCTCAGAATTTAGGGAAGGATAACAATAAACTGACTGATAAAAACTGACTGGCTCCAGATGCTCATAAACAGTGTAAGGTTTCTAGGTGTGGCCTGGAGGAGACTTCTCTCCAGCAGCCACAGAACTCAAGTTGCAGGAAATCAAAGTCCCCATGATGAGGTTGGTCAAATTACAGTGAGACTTCATGTCACAACTGTGGAAGGTATTGGCAGTTAAAGTTAGGGTGTTGACTAGTAAAGAATAGGACCTTGTAATTCGGGGTGGGGATGTGTGGGAGGACCTATTAAAGCTAAAAACTTTGAACCCTCAGACTCTCAGGACCTTATCTCACCTGAGGAAGCAGCCCCTCCACTCTCAGCAGAATCTGTACTCCATCTCATCCCCTGAAATATTTTCCTTTATGCCTTTGATTACAAAAATTAATCCTTCTGAATGAGATACCAGGCAAGACAACACCCATGTCCCTCAGGACCCTCTAATAGTTGGCTCTAGACCAGACTTAAGGCTAAGCAGGCTCCTAGTGGGGAGGTGGAAAGTGAAGTCCACGAGGAGGTACACTATACTGTTACAGAGCTTAATGTGTTTGTGAATTCATTCAAGCAGAAGTCTGGAGAACATGTGTGGGAATGGGTTTGAAGGATGTGAGATAACAGTGCAAGGAACATAAAACCGGATCAGGCTGAGTTTATTTTTTTTTCTTTTTTTTTTTTTCAGGCTGAGTTTATTGATATGGAACCTCTGAGTAAAGATTCTAGGTTTAACATGGAGGCTCTCACAGTTGAAAAAAAAAGTTGTCAAAAGTGTGAATAGCTAACTAAAACATTTATCAAAAAATGGACTACTGAAAAGGAGTTGGAGGTTCCTGCTAGCCCTTGGCCTCATGTTAATGGAGGGATTTTAAGGCCCAGGGAAATTGCAATATTAGAATGGGTACATTGTACAAAACCCAATCCTTCACAATGGGAAGGCCCAGACACACCCTTCACTAATCCTATAAGACACAGAACCGTGAGCGGGTACCAGCACATCTGAAGAGCTTCGTTGTCACCCTTTTCTGTGTGCCATACCTTAGAGCTGGTGATGCTACTGCTCAGTGGGACAAATTAAATGCAGAGTGTTAAACTGGGCCCTGAGGTAGCAGGGGTCAGCGGTCAGCACTAAACCACCAAAGGCAAGGTGATGGCAGTTATCATAATGGACAGCACAGACGAAACAATGTCCATAAGGGCCTGACCCATAATGGCCAGCACAGGCAAAGTGAATTTTATGGTGGCGTACACCTATGGGCCTTGGCACTTGCTAATTAATCATTGTGTTTCCAGCCATGAAGTAGATAAGAAGCCTACTGTGTTTCTGTTTGATCTCTATAAACAGAAAAATTCTCAGACAAATGAAAGAAAGCCTATATTAGATCATGGCAAAAGGCAGTCTTGGCCCATTAACTAATTTCCAGACGAGCTGGCGTCCAGACCCAGAACCCCAAGAATGAAGGGATGGCCACATTCCTGGAGGAAGGCTCTTGATAAAGTACTTAAAAGGTTTACTGTTAGCTTTTCTCCAGTTCTTTGCTTGAGGAATCTATGACCCTTTACAAGGGAAACTATACCCTGGGGGAAAGGTAACATTCAGACTTTCTGGGTTCTATTGGATACTGATTCTGAATTGGTGCTGATTCCGGGAGACCTTCTATCGCAGATAAAACATTGTGAACCTCCAGTTAAAGTAGGGGCTTACAGAATGATTAATGTAGTTTTGACTGAAGTCTGACTCACAGTAGGTCCAGGGGTTCCCTAAGCTCATCCTGTGTTTATTTCTCCAGGCCTTGAATGTCTAATTGGGAAAAATAGAAGATGGCAGAATTTTCACATTGGTACCCTGACCTGTGGAGTGAGGGAGATTATGGGAGCCTTTAGAGTTTCCTCTCTCAAGAAAAATAGTAAATAAAAACCAGTATCTCATTCCTGGAGGAACTGCAGAAATTGATGCCACAAAAGACTTGAAAGATGTGGGGGCAGGGGTGAGTTCCCACCACATCATCCTTCAATTCTCCTATTTGGCCAGTACAGAAGACAGATGGGTCATAGAGAATGACAATCAATCATTGGAAATTCAATTAAGTAGTGACTCTAATTGCAGCTGCTGTACGTGTGGTGTCCTTACACAAACAGATGAACACATCTCCTGGTACATGGTATGCAGCTATTGACCTAGCAAATGTCTTTTTCCCAGTATCTGTCCACAAAACCATAAGAAGCAATTTGCTTTCAATTGGCAAGGCCAGCAGCTTACCTTTAAAGTTTTACCTCAAGGATGTTTTATCTCTCCAGGCCTGATCTATTTGGAAGGGATCTTGATCATTTGTGTCTTCCACAAAATATCACATTGGTTCCCTATATTGACGACATTTTGCTGATTGGAGCAAGGAAGCAGGAGGTAGCAACAACTCTGAACTCATTAGTAACATATATGTACATCAGAAGATGGAAAATAAATTCAGCCAAAATTCCAGGGCCTTCTGCCTTAGTGAAATTCTTAGGAGTCTGTTGTAGAATATTACTTTAACTGTGTAAATGCCACGTCCACAGCAGTGACTGCCGTGTAGTGACAAAATGCCTCTGCGCTGGCTTTTGCCTGCTGAAGGATTGGGGTTAGAGCTTCTTGGAGCGAAGCCCCAGGTGGTCCCCCTGGCAATCAGCAGTCCAGAGAGGACCTGATGCCCTAGGCAAATCTCGTATCTGGAGAT